ATCCTACTCCTACTAGGAGGGGGATTCCTCCTCCTAGGCGCGCCAACAAGGGCCGGCCGGCCTTCCCCTTGCTCCTTTATATACAGGGGCAGGGGGCACCTTTAGACACACAAGTTGATCACAAAGATCTCTCCCAGTCGTGTGCGGTGCCCCCCTCCACCATAATCCACCTCGGTCATACTGTAGCGGTGTTTAGGCGAAGCCCTGCTGCGGTAGCTTCATCAACATCGTCACCACGTCGTCGTGCTGACAAAAATCTTCCCCGATCTCTACTGGATCGTGAGTTCGCGGGACGTCACCGAGTTAAACGTGTGTTGAACATGTGCTAAACGCAGAGGTGCCGTACGTCCGGTACTGAGGATCGGTCGGTCGTGAAGACGTACGACTACATCAAGCGCGTTGTCATAACGCTTCCGCTTAATGGTCTACAAGGGTACGTGGAAGACACTCTCCCCTCTTGTTGCTATGCATCACCATGATCCTGCATGTGCGTAGGAAATTTTTGAAATTACTACGTTCCCCAACAGATGGCCCACAAACGCTTCCACTTCGAGGACTACTGGCTTCTGCTGGACGGCTTGCACGACACCGTTGCCGCGGCTTGGAGCTCGGTGCACGATGACGACCCCTTCCGACGGCTGGTCAAGCGCCTTTAAGCTACTGCTTGCTGCCTCTCGAGTTGGAGTGACAAGTCCACAGAGAATGTTTGGGAGAAGCTTTCCATATCCTGCGAGCTGATCTTGTGCTTCGACAACGCGCGTGAGGACCGGGTGCTCTCGCCACCGAAGGAGTGGCTATGCAAGCAGCTCAAGCTCGCCTACCTCGGCATGGCATCCATGGAACGCACGATCGCTAGACAACGTGCCCGCATCGCGACTCTCAAGGACGGCGACGCCAACATGAGCTTCTTCCACCGGCAATGCTCCTACCGACGGTAGAAGAACCGCGTGTAGAGCCTTGCCGTGGACGGGTAGGTGCTCACGGATCACGAGGAGATGGCCAACTCAGCGTTCTCGCATTTTGATGGCTTGCTGGGCACCGCCATTGACCGGTAGCACACCCTGGACCTTTCCCAGCTCATTAAACCCGGCGACCTCGCATGCCTTGACGCACCTTTCAGCCTGGAGGAGATATGGGAGGCGGTCAAACGCATGCCGGCGCGCAAAGCGCCCGGACTGGATGGCTTCACCACGGAGTTTTTGCGCGCTTGTTGGAGCATCATCCGGCAGGACATCTAGGACATTTTCAAGCTTCTCTACGCACTGCGAGGGCATGGGTTCAGCAAGCTTAACCAAGCATTGCTAACCTTGCTTCCCAAACGCGCAGATGGCCACAAGCTCGGCGACTATCGACCGATCTGCCTGATCACATAGTGGCCAAGATCTTCGCGAAGGTCCTGTCATTGCACCTTGCTCCCAAGCTTGACACCCTTGTCAATCGCAACCAAAACGCGTTCATCGCCGGACGTAGCCTCCACGACAACTTCATTCTAGTCCGGCTATCCCTCAAGCTGCTGCATCAACTTAGCGCGCAGGACCATGCTCAAACTCGACCTCACACGCGCCTTCGACTCCATCTCCTGGCCCTTCCTTTTCGAGGTGCTGCGCCAGTATGGGTTTGGAGATCAATTCCGGGAGTGGCTGGCCATCCTTTTGTCCACGGCGAGCACTCGAGTCATGCTCAACGGAGTTCCCGGCCCACCGATCTGGCATCGCCAAGGACTGAGACAAGGCGACTCTACCTCCCCACAACTCTTCATGCTGGCGGTGGACACACTTGGGAGGCTGATGCGCCGCGCCCTCCAGACCGGCATCCTCCAGCAGCTTCACCATCGATGCACCATCCCGGCGATCTCTCTCTACGCCTACGATGTGATGCTCTTTTGCCACGCCACTACCGAGGAGATATCCGTTGTCAAAGGCATCCTGGACGTGTTTGGCACGACTTCTGGGCTCCGGGTGAATTACACCAAGAGTTCTGTCACGGTTCTTCACGGCGGTGATTCTGATGCGGGGTTGTTAGAGCTGCTTGGATGCCCCGTCGTGGCCCTGCCGGTCACTTATCTGGGCATCCCGCTCACCACCCGCCGCCCCTCCGTGGCCCAGATACAACCCCTTGTCGACGCAATGGCGGGTCGGCTCCCTACCTGGAAGGCATGGCTGATGAACAAGGCCGGACGGCTGGCGCTCGTCAAGTCGGTGCTCAGCGCGATTCCGATTCATCAACTGCTCACGTTCGCGCCACCAAAGAAAATCCTGAAGCAACTAGAGAAGATTCAGCGTGGTTTTCTTTGGGCCGGCCGCGTGGACACCCACGGTGGACACAACCACGTGAATTGGCGCCGGGTATGCCGCCCGCTCGAATATGGAAGCCTAGGTGTCCGAGATCTTGAGCGCACCGGGCTCTCGCTCCGGCTGCGTTGGCTATGGCTTGCGCGCACGGACACAGATCGCGCATGGCAGGGGATGGACCTGCAATTTACTTCAGAGGAGCGCGCACTCTTTCACACTTCCACGGCCATGGCCATCGGGGACGCACGACCGCCCTCTTCTGGGAGGATCGCTGGTTCGGTGGCCAATTCGTCCGCGAGCTCGCGCCCATGCTCTTTCAGTGCATCCCCAAGCGTCGCCAGAAGTCGAGAACGGTGGCGGAGGCCATGACCGGCAACAGCTGGGCATGCGACATCCATGGACTGCTCGGCCTTCCCGAGATTTTACAGTAACTGAAGCTTTGGCACTTAGTGCAGCATGTCCAGCTATCCAACGAGCCGGACAAGTTGCTCTGGAGTTGGACCACCAATGGTGCATACACCGCTCAGTCTTGCTACCGGGCAACCTTCCACGGAGCGACGGGCTTCCACTCCTGGAAGCTCATATGGAGGAGCTGGGCACCGCCAAAAGTGAAAATTTTCCATTGGCTGGCATTTCAAGATCGCTGCTGGACCGTGGAGTGACTCGCACGTCGTGGCCTGCAGCACCACCCGCGGTGCCTTCTGTGCGACCAAGAACCGGAGAAGATCAGGCACTTAATGCTCACATGCCCATTCACTAGGCAGACATGGCATGAGGTCCTATCTTGGTTGCGCTTGCCGGCGCCGGCGCCCGAGCAAGATGACTTGCTCATGGACTGGTGGCTGCGCGCGAAGGAATCCACACCGCCAGCGCTCCGCAAGGCGCTGAAATCCGTGGCGCTTTTGGTGCCATGGATGATTTGGAAGCATAGGAACGCGTGCGTTTTTGACCATGTGAGCCCATCGTTCAAGGAGCTTGTCGACATGATCAAGGACGAGGCCCGATGTTGGGCAAAGGCCGAGGCTCAAGGGCTCAGGGTCGTTTTGCCATCATCCTGGGATGTCCACAGAGCCCCTGATGGCTGTGTAAATCTGCCTCATAGGAGGATGTAAATTCCCTCTCTTTCCAATGCAATGAAACGCAAAGGCCATTTGCATTTTCTCGAAAAACCTGAAATGTGAGAGGATAATGGTCATACAAGGTTATACCATGATTCCTCTGATCACAAAATGTTTCGGAAGAGAATGCCCAGCAAAAACTTTGCCACAGAATTGATTCACAAGTTCTAAAAAGCGCTCCTTCTCCTACAGCAAATAAACTATTAGTGCATGCCAACTCACAAATGGTAATAGAGAAATCGTGGTTATCAGAAGTAGCCAATGATAGAAGCGTTATCAGTGTCGAAAAAACCTTCTATTTCGAGCTCAGTAATCAACACTTTGAGATGACATTTTTTGCTGAAATTTGTAATAATACAACTGTTACGGTGATTGGCAATTTTACAGACCGTCCATCCACTATGATCAAACGGTGGAGAAACTAGAGTTACAAGGAGTTACGAAGACTAAAATTACAAATAGGTAGGACCACTACAAAACTAGGATGGGGCTAGTCATTTTCTAAAAGGGTAGTTCCATCCAATTTTACTCAAGGCCAAATCCTGTTCGTACCCTCGCTGTGTGGCCCGAAACATCTGGGTCGCTCCTCCACTCTTCCCGTGGAAAACTTGTTCGAGCCTTATCAGTTCGAAGCAGCAGGGTAGGATAGGGCGGAGCCGCCGGTGTCCCCGGAGGTGGCGGTGGCAGCGGCAGAGGGGGTCAGCGAGGATGGCCGCTGGGGCGAGGAGGCGGAGCCGATGACCCCGGCGGTGGCAGCGACAGAGGGGGTCGGCGATGATGGTCGATGGGGCGAGGAGGCGGAGCCGATGACCCCGGCGGCGGCGGAGGGGTCCCAGGGGCTCGAGGACCGACGTCTGATGCAGTCGTGGTTCCTCGTCGTCAAGAGCTAGATCGAGCGCCCGACGGTGTAGCCGTCCAGAGGAAGAGGAAGAACATCCTGCGCCGGTTCGGCCGTGGCGTCATGGAGGAGACGGAGAGAAAGGGCACCGGTGGCCCCGTGAAGGTCCAGGAGGTCGCCGCCTCATCGTGCAGCGCATGATGGTGGACCGATGGGCGTCGAAGAGGCACTTGACCTTGCCGGATCACGCTGTTGCTGGCGTAATCCAGGCCGGATATGTGGAGAGCCCGGCGCAGCACCGTCTACAGGTCCATATCTCTTACAGTCTTACGCTACCTTGTTCCTTGTATAAGTATCTGACGAAGCACATAAGCTTTCCACAGTGGCCATGTAACTAAATTCTGAATGTTGCTTAGTTATGCTTAATGGAGCAGGTGGGCAACTCCCTTTTGTCTAAGTTTTTGCAAGTCTGTGATATCTGTATTATGTAAAACAGGTCATGAATGATTCTGCAGTTGCTGATACGATTTTTTTGCTTCCAATGCTTTGTTAGATTGATAAGGGCCGGAGCTTCAATGACGAATCTACTATTCAGCACACAGCCCAACTCGACAGTCACTAGCCATGTCAATAGGCACTCAGGGGCATGCTCGCCTCGGCAGTCATCAAGGTGGCAATAGGACACTTGAATTCTACCATTTCAGGCGAGATCAAGCTGCATAGGAATATGAGGAACAATCCGATCTAGAGAACATGAAGATGACGCTGGAGTCGGTGGACGTTGTGCTCCACGACGCTGAGAGGGAGTCTATCAAGCATAAGTCCATGCTTCTGTGGCTGAAGCAACTTAAGGATGCCGCGAACGACATCTCTCACATGCTTGAAGATTTTGAAGATGAAACTGACCTCAACCTGGTATGCAAGATTCTGATTTGGTCACTATCAATCTTGATCTGAATGTTGTTGTTTAATAACATTTGAATATTTTTAGATAGTGAACTACATCTAAAACTTTTTTATGTACTGAAGTAGATCTAAACCTCACTATGGGAGTTGATCTTTGAGTCGATGTAAAGTAAAAGCTACTTATACTTGTTGATGCCAAGACCACCTTTTCATTCGTAAATAATGTCCATGTTTTCTTATGTTTCACAAATAGTAATCTATGTCCACAAATATCATGATTTGATTGAGGGGAAAGTGAAGTAATACTAGTCTGGTATCCCAAGTGTAATATTAGTTAATGCACTATTTTTTGTCAAGCATGTGATTGAAACAAGACAGAAGGACCAAAATCATCTACACTTTCTCACTAAGTAGAAATTTTCTACTGTAACCCTTCTGGTTTAGGAAAGTGACAGTTTTCAGAAATTGTTTAGACGGAGGGAAGAACATACAACATATCCCTTTATTCTGCACATTAGTGTCCGATGGAGCAGTTGTAGGACGTTGCTTTTTCTCTTCGATGTTCTTTTCCAGGTGAAATCCATGGCTGCTTCCTAAAACTTAAACGAAAAATGTATTTGCCAACCCTGTGACAGATTGAAAAAACGCAACACCACCTGGATGCCGTCGATTTGAATCCACCTAACGCATCCAGTATCGTCAGATCCGATCGCGAGCACCCGCCCCCACCGGATTTGTCGACACGAGCGGTGGAAGACTGGTCAACGGGGCGGTGCGGGCACGCGTCTCCTCTAGACGAGGATGTAGGCGACGGCGCTGGCGACTTCTAGTGGGGAAGGCTTGGGTCTGGACGGCAGATCCGGTGGCCAGCATCGTGGGGCCGGCCGAATTTGGTCGAGGACGGGCGGAGGTAATCGGCGGCGGCAGAGGGCGGCACAAGGGCTCTGTCTCGGGGCTGAGGTCGACCAGGGCGGTCTATGCGAGGAATAGACGAGGGAGAGAAGAAAGAAACAGAGAGGAATGGCTGGGAATAGAAGGGAGAAGGGGCACGACTAGGTTTCTGACCTGCTTCGATGGCCGGTGGTCACCGGCCGCATGGAGGCTCGTTGTCTCCTCGGGAGGACGGCACGCCACAAACGTGGCAGCGGCATGGCTCATTCGCCACGCTGGCGACGGCCATCTCCAAGTAGCCGCTGACGCTGGTCGTCGCACTGGTGCTGCTTTTCTAGCCAATCACCATGTGGACTTGCTGCAGCAAAATACAGTAGCTACTGTGCAAGTGATCGATGGATGAGCCCTATGTGCAAGCGTCACTCCCGCTCCGCCCGGATGTGAAACAAGCAGAAAAGGACACACCCGACTGTGCCACCCATGTTTCTTGATCCAGAATTTCTATTGTCTAATTGGGTAGAAAAACGGCGCACTGAAACTACTGCTAATCTACTTAGTTGACAGTTGTTTGAATTTCTGTACTAGTAGTAGATATAAGTAAGTAAAAGTAGTTGTTGCACTGTGCCAGATGGATTAATTAATCCGTTTACAACTGCTACAAGGTTGCCTCAAGTGTAGTTGGTTGAAATTCAGAGAGGAAACTCAGGTTCAGTCATATCAATTCAGATTCACAGAGAAGACGCTGATTTTTATATGATTTAGCATTTGAAATTAAGAGAGAAAATTCAGTACTAGATGAAAATTAGTTTCTGTACAATACACTACTTTCAGGTCCTGTATATCATTTGTCTTGTTGATCTTTTTATTAACTTGTGTTTTAGCAATATGAGATCACTGATCTGCTACAACATTTGTAGTGCTAGTGACATAAGTCATAATCTCCCGCATAGAGCTACTGACCATCTCTCAAGTGACTTAGGAATTATCACCGCGATGATTTTGACCCAATGAAAAAACGGTTGTTGAAAAACATAATTACGGTAACTTTTTTTGTGTACATAGCATTGGTAATATACGCACCACGAACTACATAATTTACATATAAGAATCACGGTAACTTTGAGTCGGAGGGAAAAAATGTTGAAAACATACCTCCTGTGACTTCTGTGAAAATAGTATGATAATATATGCCCCGCAGACATAATAACTTAGGTGCAAACACCGTGGTATTTTGGACCCGAGGAAAAAGTTGCTAAAAGCATACCCACGGTAAATTTTATGTAAGTAGCATGGTAATGTATGCACCACAGGCCTGATAATTTAAGTGAAAACACCATGGTAAATTTGACAACGGGGAAGAAAATTATTGAAAAGAACCCCCATTGATTTCTATGTAAATATCTTGGTAACGTACACACCGGAGGCCTAATAACTTGGATACAAACACCATGGTAACTTTGACCATGTCAAAAAAAATTGTTGAAAAGGTATCATTGATAATTTCTGTGTAAATAGTACGATAATATACGCATTGCAGATCTGATAGCTTAGGTGAAAACACTGGTAATTTGGACACGAGCAAAAAAAATTCTAAAACATACCACCGGTAACTGATGTGTACATAGCATGGTAATATACGCACCACATACCTGATAATTTATGTCCAAAACACCATGGTAACTTTTCAACCCATGAAGAAAAGGTTGGTGAAACATACCCCGGTAACTTTTGTGTAAATAGCATGATATTTTTAAGCAATGTAGACCCGATAACTCACGTACAAACACCGAGGTAACTTTGGTCAAGGAGGGGAAAAAGTTGTTAAAAACATACCCCAGTCACTTATGTGAACATAGCACGGTAATAAACGAATCACACACTCGATAACTTACATACAAATGATAACTTTGGCAAACAAGGTAAAAAAGTTGCTAAAAACATCTTCTCCCTCCCTCGCCTTCGATAACTCATGTGAAAATAGCTCGGTCATATATGAACCGCATGCTTGATAACTTACATACAAGCAGCACGTTAACTTTTACCAATGAGAGAAAAAATTTGTTGGAAAATATACCCCCGATAACTTATGTAACGGTAATATACAAACCACATACCCCATACCTTATGTAAAAATACCGTGGTAACTTGACTAGGGGGCTGAAAAACATCCTCTTGTAACATGTGAAAATACCATGGTAATATATGAACCGCATACCCAGTAACTTACATACAAACACCACGGTAACTTTGACTAAAGAGGAAAAAAGTTGTTGAAAAAACATAACCCGGTAACTTATATCAAAACAACATGGTAATATACAAATAGCATACCCGACAACTTATGTACAAACACCATGATAACTTTTGAGCAAAGAGGAAAAGTTGTTGAAAAACATTCCCCGATAACTTATGTGAAAATAGCACGGTAATGTATGAATCACACATATCTGATAACTTAAGTACAAACACCAGGGTAACTTTTGATCAAGGGGGGAAAGTTGTTGAAAAATATAACCCCGATAACTTATGTTGAAATAGCACGATAACTTGCATACCACAGGCGTGATAACTTATGTAGCTGAGACGTAGTAAGTTTTGACCCAGAAAAAGTCATCGGAATATACCAATATGGGATCTAGTTTTGAAGATTTCATCGTGACGAATCTTTTATGTGAAAACGGTTTTTGCATCGGACCGACGGTTTGAGCCACAAAACATTTTGAATTTTCGGAATCTATGATGACATCATCTTTTTTGTCCTCTAGTGCATACATGCGCATGTGGAGAAGGTGGGAGAACCATGTTTATGTCCTGGTAACTTATGTGGAAATAGCACCATAAGTTGCATACCACAGATGTGGTAACTTATATAGCCAAGACGTGGTAACTTTTGACCCGGAAAAAAAGTCGTCGAAACATACCAACATGGGATCTAGTTTCGTAGATCTCGTCGTGAAGAATTTTTATGTGAAAACGATTTTTGCATCGGACCGACGGTTTGAACTACAAAACATTTTGAATTTTCAAAATAAAAAGAATCTATGATGACATCAACTTTTTTGTCTTCTAGTGTATGCATGTAATTAGAGAAAGAAATGCACGTGGAAAGTGATTCATACTAATGCAATTATGCATGTAATTAGGAAGGAAAAGGAGGTGTGTGGTAGTTTTAGCTATGTGGCACACGTGTGCCAAATATCGCAGTCCAAACTTAAAATCTGTAAGCAGATGTTTGAATTGCCAAAAGATGGTTGTTGTTCTGCGACTAGACTGACCATCCAGCTTTAAATTTTAGTGTAATCTCAAGATATTGCAATTGAACTCTTCTTAAGGTAATTCTCTGTTTTATCTGAACTCGTTAAGATTATTTGATTTTTCTTTGGTCTTTTGCGCATTTAAAAGGCCAGAGAAAATTTTGCCAATCTCTTTAATTTTCACACGAAGCTAAGGTGTTCCCCATTTATAATTTAGAGACAAGAATCTTGTCAAAGCTTAGGCTTACAATGGAGACACCATCAATGGCAATTCCAAAGTTCCGTGCCTGATCTGTCAGTATCTTTCTAATTTCCCACCTCACGCGCTGAAATTAAAGGGGAAAGGAGCAAACAATGAGCACCCACAAGTAATATATTCTGCCAAATATATACAAGCATACCTACATAATGCTAGTAATCATCGTTGTGTATAATGGCGCCATACATTGTGGAGCAAGGCCAGAACTGTGTTTCTTCACCTACATTTGCACATATGAGCAATTATTGTCTTCTTGCCTTTTTCAGGTATTTGGCAATGTTGTCTCTTGGGCTGCCCAATTGATCACTGAAGCTGGTGGCAAGGTGGTCTCCATCAGAGATGTCACAGGGGCTGTCAAGAACTCCAATGGCATTGACATAGCCAAGCTGATGAAGCACTCGGCAGAGAACCATGGGTACAAAGGGGAAGCAGATTTGTACTACATCAAGCCTGGGTGCGTACCACCTGAAGGAATGGTACAGATGTCAGGTCAGCATGACGTTGATGAAATGTTGCACGTTTTAGAAGGGATAAAGAAATGTCATTTGTACATTGTGAAGAATTGTGCATTCTTAGATAATAGCGATGATGACATGTATGAACAGGTTGGTTATATTGCCAAGTTCCTACTTATTATACAAAAAATGGCCACATCATTTGCATAAATACCTTTCACATGCATTTGGGCAGGACATGTCCGAAGAAGACATATATGCATGTGGGTACATGGATATCGGCGAGAGGGACTTGGGCGAATATGGGTCATCGCCCAAAAGGAAGAAACTTGCAGATAACAATCCGAAGAAGGCATTGGATTTTGGCAGCAGTGACGAGTCTCTTCAGTAGGCTTTTGGTTTTTCTACAATTTCAAGCTTTAGAGCTGAACTATTGTCCCAAGTAGTGTTTACATTATTTTCGAACCAACAATCACTACATTGAAGTGACAATTGTGAGACTATGTTTACAATAATAGGCTTTCAACTTTGAGTTGTTGCTCAATTTTTAGATGAAAGGTTCCTTTGATGCCCGCACACTTAATTATGGCTTTTACTATTTTTGTATTGCATGTGCTGCACTAGTCCAAACTAGTTTTATGTTCATAACATCAATTAAACGAGGGACTCCAAATATGATCTACATCGACTCATCTTCTTCCGCTGCAACTCGGAGTCGGTAACGATCGCACTCAAACCGTTGATGCATCTTCATGTTATTCCTGGGCGGCACAGCAGTCAAGGACAAGGGGGAGTGCGGCGCGGCTCACGGAGGAAGATGGACATCAAAGACATCAATACACGCAGTCTAGAACTTTCTTTTGATACAGAAAGAATATAATTTAGGATGGACATGAGAGGGGAAAAGTATTGTACTGTTAAAGGTGAATGGGTGCGTCATTGTATATATCTAGATCCGAAAACGCGCATAA